GCATCTCGGGTTGCCTTCTCCGTAAATAACTCACTAAATTACTGTCGCGGGCAATGTGACAGTTACGTCCCCACGCCGTCGTCCCGTCACCGCCGCTATATTTTCAGTCAACGTATAACACCGGGCCGGAATATTAGTGCACGTTCCACGTAACGCTGCCGGGCCCTGCCGGGGTCGCGGCTGCCTGGGCTGGAGCAGGTGCGCCGCAACGAGGTCACGCCATGAGATGGAACAGTTTTCACTTTCGGCGGCATAATTTGGCGTGCGATCCTGGGAGTGAGTTGCTCGTCTTCGGCGTTTCATTCGAAACGCGTTAGGAGCGGTGGCAGAGCGGCGAGCAATCCGTGGGTGGAAACTGGCGCACGGGATAAGACGGCGCAAAGTTCAAGAGGGCGGTGGCGGAGCCGCGGTATCAGCCCCGCCTGCGACGCGCTGCCACGCCGACGCACCTCCGAGATTGAAGGTGACTTAGCCCCCGCGCGGCCCCCCAGTGGGGCCCCCAGTGCCTCGCGTCCCGCGGCGTTTGTGTCAGTCTGCTTATCTTGCCAAGTCAACCGCCGCGCCAGCCCTGCGCCACCCCCGCGCCCCCTCGCAATGGGCTGGAGGTGCCCGGGGCGCCCCGGGCAAACACGGAACGGGTACCGCAGGGCCACAAAGGCTACGGCACTACTAGGGCGGGCCACGGCGGGGCCAGCCACGGAGGCACAGGGCCACTATGCGGAACAACATGTGATGCCGCTAGCTGCTGCTGTGTTGTTTCGTCTGCGGTGGCCATTGCCAGTGTAACAGCTAGGCTGTTTTCCCTTACTGTACACAACCAGCATTACGTCCCGCAAAAGGGTGGTCCAGCCATTCTGTGGCGAGCACACTCATACGGACACAACACACACGCACACTGGGAGGAGACGCGCGCAGAGTGCCCCTTACCTCTCATGACAACTTCCCCTCCCCTTCATCACGGGAGGCGCCCCCTCCCACCCCAGCCCTCCACCCCAATCACGGCCCCCGAGGATTACAAGAGGCGCTGCTAAAGGTGTGTGGGAACACACGGCCCCGCCGCCGAGGCCACAGTGGCCACCGAGGCCAGGCCGCCAACCCACTGCACACTACGGACACTGCCCCCTCATTTGCATGGCGCGGAATCCCGAGCGCGGGTTTCTGGACCGCTGGCCACCACATAGTGGGCCCACGTAGTGCCACGTAGTGGGGTACCAGGCCACGGCGGGGAGGCCCAGCCCTGGTCGAGGCTCGGCCGAAGGGACGAGGGAGGCTTTCAGTCTGGCCCACCTATCGGGGTGGCGTGCGCAATCCTCCTGTGTGTGTACAGTTACACGAGCAGGGCGTAGCGGCGTAGAGCGCGGGGAGCGAGAGGGCTCTGGAAATAATGGGGGGGAGGGGGCTCGCAGTGCCGGGGCCTTGGCCGGGGCCGTGGCCGCGCCGTCGGGGATCGGCGGAGCAGGCGCGTCGCTGCTTGTGTTCTCTCTCTTTCTCTCTGCCTTGCGTTTTACGACTTGCTATCGCGCCGCCAAACGCTTCCCTGGCACCCGCTGCCGCCCGCCGCCGTCCGTCTCACGTTCAGTGGGACGGGGTGGGCGGGCCGGGATGTGGATATCACTCAAAACAAATAAAACAGCCGGCACCTCGCGCGCCGAGTGGCGCCGAGCAGAGCGGAGACACATGGCAATGAAAGTCACGCAATGGAGATGTGTGCGAGTGAGTGGGACGCAGCTGTATTTCACTCGAGTCCCATCCCATCCCCTTTGCTCCCCTGCAAAAAGTAAATAGTTTGGAACGAAACACGCCGGCTGCTACGCCAGACGAGTCCGCTCCCATAGACTTTTGATCTGGTTACCAAACCACCAAGAAGCTGTTCCTTTTAGGAATCATCCTCCGAGCCTCGAAGCTCGACACGTTTGCTCTGTGTGAAAGGCCTCAACCAGCTCAACCGCGTTTGTGCTGAAAGGACCACGTGACCAATCCCCAGACGTGGTCCTTTCACGCGCATTTCATTTGCATCCACAGTGTAGTTGTTCGATTCGATCTGCTTTCCGGCGTGGTATTTATTGCTGGTTCGCGCACGCACACACTCTCGCCCAGACGGCGCCGACTCTTCTTGGAAGTCGAAATGAGAGGCGGGCGGTGCATTCAGGTGACGTCCTGGACGGCGCCGTGCCGTGCATTCTGCGAGGAAGTCGGAGAGGCATCGGCGTTATTGGGAAAAGTGAATCCAGGGAAGGGGGAGGGGAGAGGATACGTCCTTGAGACGGCGGCGCAGCAGAGACCCCCGCAGCAACACACATGTCAAACGCGTTACTCGATATTCGAGGACCACTGGGAAGGTGCTCGCCAGCTGTCAGACGCCTCCGTCCCGGACCGCCGACAAAAACAGAAACAAAATCACAAAAATAAGCGAACAACAATGCGCTTCGAAGTTGGTTTTTGTTCGCCTGATTTGTTTCTAACTAGCCCGCAGTCACCCCAGTGCGTAACAGGCGGACTGGGCCGTATCGAAAACAGATCCCGGCCGGCCACTGACCGCACCCCGCTCAACTTCTCGCAGCGCCGCGGGCGGCGGCCAGCTTCGGGAGAGTCGTCGTCGCCTCTCTCGGTCCCTTTCGCACCCGTGGGGCGTCCCGTAGGGGTGCGACGGAGAGACGGAGCGACGAAACGAACCTCCGGAATCGCCCCAGGCCTGGCAGGCCCTGGCGGGGCGCTCAACACGATGTCGGCCCCGAACACAAAGGAGCATCGCAAGAAACAAAAGCGCGCCACGGCTCGTTAATTGTCCTAACTTACTCCGCAATGCGAGCGGAAACGCAACTCTCTTCCCGGGTTTGCCTGCCGTCGGCCGCGCCGTGCCGGGCCGTGCCGAGCCGCTGGGGCGGTGGGCGGTCCGGGCTGGGCGCCGGGCCTTGCTGGGCCGGGTGGGCCGGGTGGGCTGTAGGCAATGCGGGCGGCGGGAGGGGCACTGGCAATTCGTCGTAAGCATCAACGTCGCCCACCCCCTCCCACCCCACCCCGCCGCCCACACCCCCAGTCCGCACGCTAAGCTAAGAGAGGGGCTGATGAGGGGAGTGGAGGGGGCACCAAACGGAATGGCAGAAATACGCAGCAAGAGTGTGTGGGCCGAGGCAAAGTAGGCAAAGTAAGAGCAGAGGGGTGGGTGGGGAAAAGAAGACGGTCGGACAGGGGGGGGAGTCGCTGGCGTGCCCCGACGCCATAAGACTCGTCCCAATGCGACCAATTTACCTATCTGAATTCCCACAACGACCTACGCCTTGTCCTGTTACTCCCCCTGCCCCCGCCCCAAGGCAGGTCCTCTCCCTCGCCGCCCTGCTCCTGGGCGAAGATAATGTCCCGGGTAGACCTGTTCATACCACCGGGATGCGGTGCAAGGTCTCGAGCCCGGATATGCAGGGAGCGGCGCAGGACCCCGGAAACGGATCAAAGACGAGGGCTGTGGTGGCTAGGGGCGAGGGCCGGCCTGTTCGCCAGCCCCCACCCCCCACGCACCCTCTCCTCTGTGCGCTCACGGTAAGCCGTTCCAAATGACCATTTTAATTTAAAACGGCACCCCGCATGCCGTCATGCCGGCCAGGTTCACAAAAGAACGAAATAATTATATTAAACAACCTCTGTTTGCGCGGACGCGCTGCTGTGTGTGAGCGTGTGTGTGTGTGAAGGGTGTTGTTGTTGTTTCTTGACGTCACTTAGGGGCTCCGGCAGTCAGGGCGATGGCTTTGCGCGACACTCGACCACCTTCCATTACTTCTACCGGAGCTCTTTGCCCGTCTCGCTCGCTCTACCGAGCCGCCTCTTGTGTGTGTGTTCGTGCGTCCGTGTGAGCGTGTCTGGCAGTTTATGTGTGTGTGGAGGCGGCTGCGGGACGTCTGGCGGAAAGAGAGAGGGCCCTCCTTTGGGCCGCTCCACGGAGCACGACGGCGCGGCTGTGTTTTGTGCGTCGTCGACAAGGCGGTGGCGGCGCGGCGACATCTCCCTCCCGCATGCGGTGGCATTGATGGCTGTCCGGCAATAACACCGCCAGCCTCTCGGGTGGAGAGAGAGAGAGAGAGAGAGAGAGAGAGAGAGAGAGAGAGAGAGAGAGAGAGAGCGGCCGATGATGAACGTCCATCAATTAGCGCTCTCATCACCGGCATCCGTGATAACAGCGGCAATGCAGTCGATTGCTGTCAAGGAAAGGCGGACGCTAAGCCGTTGGACACCAAAGCCTCCACTTGCAGTGGAAAAACGCTCCAAAAGACTGGAGGTGGTACTCGCGGCGCGTCGCCCGGCTGGACTGCCTGGACTGCCTGGGCTGCCCGCGGGGACCCGCCATGAATAAATAGCAGTCTGCTGATAATGACGAATCGCGCAGAGGGATTAGGAGTGCCGTTATCGCACTGTTATTGCGGGGCGGTGCAGAGGCGGTGCAGAGGGGCAGGCCGGGGGCGGTCCCTAAGCGGCTTATCACGTGATGGCATTCAGAACCACCGCCAGATGGACCTGTCACCCACAACTTTATCCAGTCCGACGCGCGCCTCCCGTCCGTGTGAGCGTGGGTGTGTAGGTGTGTGCAGAGTGTGGGGGGATTGTGTGCACAGAGGGGCGTGTAAAATGAAGCTCGCGTGTCCACGGATGCCCCTTGCGTAAATGAGGGGAGACCCCTCCTTTTTTCTCTCTTTCTGTCATTGATGTCATTTGGCTTTCACTGGTCAAATAGCCTCCTGGGGGATCCAGCCCGACTGAGAGACCCCCGACGGATGGCAGGCAGCGAGGTTCGAGGCGAATTACGCCCCCGTCAGCTGCTTGCCCTCCGACCCCTCTTTGACTGGCCACAAAGAGGTCCATTACCGGCCCTGTAAATGTCCCACTGTGGCGATTCGAGCCCCGGATCGAGAGGCCACCTGCTAAAGAGACAGGGAAAGAAGCCGCACCCAGGCGGTGAAGTCGTCACCTGAAGGCCGACTTCCAATTGAACCCGTCTTGCGATACCCCCTTACCTGGCGCAGGGGCGTAGATGTTGAGGTAGAGGCAGTCCTCGCTCTGCCGCGACGAGTACGGCAGCAGGCGCCTCAGGTGCTGCAGGCGCGCCCGGGGCATCCGCAGCAGCGCCACGCTCTCGTTGTGGATGTCGGGCTGCAGCTGCGGGCAGGCGGGGCCCGGGTTGGTGGCGGGCCGCACGCCGTCCCACGGCGAGGGCGTGCGCGTGGGGCTGAAGCGGTTGCCCCCCACGGGCGGGGTCGCGTACGGCACCCCCAGCCACACCTGCAACACATGCCTCGGTACAGTTTGTCGCAGAGGACAGGCTTCATTAGGCATTGTTAGAAGGGAAACAGGACAAAAGGTTACATCCGATTCAAGTCAGTGAACTCCGTCGGGAGCGGATAGAGGAGGCAGAGAAGCCTTCTGGTGAGGCGGAAACTCCCAGCCCCTTCGGTGAGCTTCTCGATTTGCGTCCCAAGAACAAACTAATAGAAGGAAGAGCACACTAAACACACAGAAAGAAATTGGGCTGCATGCGGGCCCCTGCCAATCTCACATGGACCATCGATCACAAGGGGCAGGCGGGCCGAGGGCTGCGGAGAGGACGGCCGAGGACCGCCAAGGACCTCCTCCTCCCTCCACTGTTGAACGCGTACCCCCGAATGTCTTCAGTTCCACGCCACTGTTGTGAAGACTGAACTAGGAGGGGAAGGCAAAATGACGGAGTGTTCCATCCCGCGCCGACATCCTATTCCTCTCGCCCTCCCCCCGGCCTTCGATGGGTCCGCCGAGATGGCATGATTACCCCGCCATGCGGAAAAGCGAGTCGCCACCTCCATCGTCGGCGCCGTCCCCGGCCCCGTCCCCGTCGTCACCCGGCCCAACTTTTCAAGCAAAGAATATGGCGCGAATATGGAGCCACCATGGAGACGGGCGCGGCGGTGAGGGGCACGGCCAAGTTTACGACCACCCGGCTGCACATCGGCTGGGGGAGGGGGGCATTGGATATTAGGGAGGAATCGGGGGTGGGGGTAACGAGGGGCATTCATACGAAGGCTCGTGTGTCATAGGCCTTCCGTTTGCGGCGTCTTACGCGGGTGGATCTTGGTCCAAGCGGGTGGGGCGGCGGGGCCCCGCCGGCGGCAAGGCGGACCGCTTGGCCCCCTCGAGGCCCCGCAAGTATTATACATGGCACATACCGAGGGGCTGCAAGGCTGCGGGGCTGAGGGGCCCCCGCGGGGGTCGGATGCGGCGACGGAACCTCCCCGAGTAAATCACAATGCCGCGACCGCGGCGACGCCCCCCCCCCCCCCCAACCCTCTCGCTTCTTCTTATTCCTCGGGCCGCACCTCGACGCAGTGCTGCATTATACGATCGGAGATGCGGAGCGCCGCGCCGCGCAGCCCTGCGGTGCTGTGTTTAGGTCATAACGACTGTGGCAAATTACTTGAGGCGTAATGGCGATTCACTACGCCGACTGCTGCGTCTCTGAGCGGCCAGGCGTCGGACCAGCGGGGAGCTATCGACCCGCTGCACTGCGAGGCGTGCAGCGAACGCACTCCAACATTTCGCTCTTCGAAACAAATTAGAAGGAAAAATAAAACTTACACACCGTGGCAGTGTAGCCGAGGTAAACAATAGGGGAGCAAAGTGAAATTGTGCCTGCTGCTCCAGGTCGTGCTCTCGCTGGCTGACGTGAGTCGACGGGCCGGACAGGTGCGTACGAAACTCGGATGTGTGTGTGTGTGTGTGTGTGTGTGTGTGTGTGTGTGTGTGTGTGTGTGTGTGTGTGTGTGTGTGTGCGCGCGCGCGTGCGCAGTTTGTTGTTGAGAGAAGTGGACAATTATATCGTCTGCCGCCCACGGCTGCACGGAGCCCGTCACAGTAGTAGTAGCCGAGGTCATCACCAAAAAGTTTCCAGCCTCTCTGCGCCTGACACTAACAGATTTTTTTTGCACCAGGACAACAACTCCCGAGGGCTGGCGCGTGGAAAAAGGGCGCGTTGTATTTTTTAGCGTTGTTTTCGCCAAACAAACACGGAGGGACATAAAAAAAACTGAAAGTTCGGCCAGAACGGCTTTTATATCGATGAGATGACATTGCGAGGATCACTTGGGTCTATCCCTCTTCAGTTTTTATTTGTTGTTTTTATTTTCGTTCCTGTTTTTAGAAAAGGGAAAAAGTGACAAAGAGGAGTCAGGTCTAGTTCTGTGCACTGTTTGGCTGGCTGAGTTCCTGTTAGGCTATGGAGGAACCAAAAGGATACCATCGAGGGGATTACAGTTTTTTAACCCTGGATTCGACCCAGTGGCCGTCCGAGTGGTCGGCGCAGGCGTAAACCCTGACGTAGGCGTGCACCCCGAAAAAAGTAGAAAGACAGCAAAAGGAGAGAAAGCGTTTTGTGACTACACAATTATCGCAACAGGCTAAATCTTGAAACGAGGCAGTACTCACGTTGAGGTTCTTGAGGTGGCGGTGGGTGTCCTTGAGGGGGAGGTGCAGGCCCTGCAGCCGGCCGTAGCGCGTGTCCACGACCTTGGGGGAGACGGTGGCCTCCCCGAGGGGCATGCGGTAGCGCGCCGTGGACGTGGAGGGCTGCGCCGGGTACTGCACGGCGGCGCCGGCCACGGTCACGCAGTGCAGGAGCGCGGCCGCGGCCAGTGCCAGCCAGGCCAGCGCTGAGGCCTTGGGCGAGGCTCCGTCGCGGGGGCCTCCAGCTCGCCCCGGACGGCCTCGCGCCCTCCCCATCCTACGCCGCCATGTCCTTCAGGACCTCCAGGACCTCCAGGACTTCCAGGAACCGGCCTTACATCGCACCTGGAACAAGCAGAAACGTCCATGAAAAAGGAGCCGGCACCAGAAGGGCCTCCTTTTGTCAAAGGCGGCAAGGCCCCCCACCCCATTTCAGTTCCTGTTTCTTGCTATTGTTTCTGGCTGCCGGCGAACGGGGCGAACGGGGCGGACCAACCGCCCTGAAATGCCGGCGGTGCCAATTTCGATCTTATTTCAGGTGTCACACTTAAAACAATGAGTTGATTAGGATTTCTGGCCTCCCGTCTCCCCCCGCCGAGTGCTCGCCAGGACGCCCCGAGCGGGAATGATGGGAATAATCTGCATTGTAAAGGGAACAAAAACACACCAAGGGGTGCTGTTTTATTGGGCTCATCTTACCTCCAGTGAGGGGCACCTCAACACACAAGCTTTTCCGACCCTTCTTGCAGGCCACAACCGAGCCAAGTCTCATCGTTAACTCCGCCTCTCTCGCTCACCACTTCGTGACCGCTCGGCTGTCCCCCTTGCATTTGCAATCTAGCGACGTTAACCTCGTCATCCTGGTGGCCTAGTCGGCGGCCCGGCGACGGCCTGCCGGGTCGATAATGGTTTTTCACCACTTTCCAACACTTTGCAGTGTACTGAAGAGGCCGCGGCGCTGGCGGCCTGGCGGCCTCGCAGGGTTGCCAGCTGGTGCCATTGTGAATATTCTAACGAGGGGAGGTCCCGTCCGTCCCGTGGCGATCCGGCCTCTGCGCAGCACTAATAATCTGGCTACACACAGTTTGGAGCGCTGGGCCGTTCCGGCCCAAAGCCCGGCCGGCGGGCTGCTTGTGGGTGCCTGGTCGTCTCTCTCGCACCCACGCAGCACGCCCCATGTGCGAGAGAGACAGAGCGAGGCTAGGCCGCCTAAATGCGGACCAAGTTGGCGAGGCGCGGCATTGCCATTAGCAGTCGGTCTCCACATTCGCGTGTTCGCTGACCCGTTTCCTGTTTCGGCCTTCGGCGACCGCCGCGGACCGCCGCGGGCTTCCCCCTCCCCTCCGCACCTGCCCGTCTTGGACTAACGCGCTCGGGTCCGCGGCGGCGCCACGCCGCGACAGTGTGTGGGATAAGCTCCGGCCGCCCACGCCTGTCTATAAGTGGAGGCGGCTCGCTGATCGATAGGGCCCGATGGAAGTGAGACGGGGAGCAAGTTTCCGGGCCGAGTCTGGCGGCCGGGCGTGCCGGGCGGGGAGCAGGCGTACCGGGCGTGCCCGATGGCGGGGCGAGTCTCTCTGGGGCAGCGGGCGGGGACCGGGGAGGAGGGCCAGATCATGCGGTGCCACGATTCACGCCGGGCGAGGCAGGGCGAAGCAGGAGGGCGAGGCACGGTGAAGGGTAGTTCGGGGAGTGGCACATCACGGCGTGAGGGGACCGGAGTAGGAGGGTCAGCCATAACCGCGACGCAACGGTAACCGGAAAAAAGGGGAGCTCCTTTGCGCTATGCAGCGCTCACACTCTGCCCTCGCCCTCCGCGATCGTTGTGTCATATTGTCGCAGCGCGCTCAGCACCGCGCTACCACGCTCCAGCGAGGCTACCCGTCAGGTGGCGTCCGATACTCCAACGAACGAAATATTCGGTCGCATTTTCTCCCAAAAAGTTGTTTTTCGCCACTCTTTCATACCCTCCGACGCCAGCCCTGCACATCGGCCGGCCCGCAGCTGCGCATCCGCACCGCCAGGCGAATCACTTCACCGTTATGGAAACAAAAACAAAAACGCGCAGCAAATTGACGCGTTTTTGGCGGTCGGCGAAGGGAGCGGCGCCGCCGGGCCTCGGTTATTGGGGGAGACGGGGGGAGGGAGGGAGCGTCGTGAAACGCCATTCTATGTCGTTTGGCATGATGGATGCGTCATTTGGTGTGCATCGTCGTAGCGGCGCCGCCAGCCGACCAGCCTCGCCAGCCTCCCACGACACTGCGGCCAACCGGGCCGACCGCACACGGCGCACACACCAGCTCCCTCACACACACATACACAAACACACACACACACACACACATTTGAACAAACCGACGATGGTCTTACCCTAACGAACTTGCGCTTCACTCCAGTTGTGCCCCTGCGATTACAAACCCCTCCCCTCCCCCTTCCCCAAAATCTAGCCTTGGTTCAATTACAGCCCCACTGCGTCTTGCGTGTGGGGTTGGATAACAGGGATCCCGTGACACAATCCCCTTGCCGTCCCTCAAAAGCATCGTCATCGACGCGACAACCCCGCCACGGCCCCAGTCGCCCTCGTCGCTCTGTCTCTCTCGCACTCACGGGGCGCCCCGCTTGGGTGCGAGGGAGACAGAGCCTCCTAGAATCAGTGTACTGGGCCCCTCCACCTCCTCGCGCGACACAACTTTGTTCGCAGGTAGCACGCGCGACGCGCAGCCCAAACTCGCTGCAAAGGAGGGAAAGGGTGGAAAAGCGGGACGCACTCGGCGCCGGATTTTCCGGGACGGCGGTGACGCGCGCAACGGAATCAGCGAAACTCGCGGAAATCCTGATTGTGTTGTTTGTGACGAGAGAGAGAGAGTGAGAGAGACAGAGAGAGAGAGAGAGAGAGAGAGAGAGAGAGAGAGAGAGAGAGAGAGAGAGAGAGGAGGCAGAAGGAGGATCGGCATACAAGATTGGCGAGCGCGGCGCGCGCGGTGCGTGCGGTGTGATTGGGGCTACGAACGTGGCGCGTGTACCTGCAAGTCGGTTGCGAAGAGCCGCCACCGCGTCTCTCTGCGTCTCTGTCGCACTCATAGAGCAACCTGGTAGCGCCGTGGTTAGAGTGCTGCGTTCCTGACTGGCAGGTCTCGGGTTCGAGACTAGTACCATGAGCATATTTTTCGGCAGAGGCAACCGACTTCTTGACGAGGTCTATCCGGAGAGGATTGAGTACCAGCGCTGGCAGTGCGGGCACCATGATCCTCCGGTAGCTCAGTGGTTAAGAGCACGTTGTGGGAAGCGGCAGGTCCCGGGTTCGGGACCGGTAATATATACAATTTTTTCGGCCACCAATTGCTTGGGGAGGTATATCCAGAGAAGATTGGGTACCGGCGCTGGCAAGACGGGTGCCATGGCGTCCCGGTGGCTCAGTGGTTAAGAGCATGATGTGGGAAGCGGCATGTCCCGGGTTCGGGACCGGTAGTATACACAATTTTTTCGGCGACCAATTGCTTGGGGAGGTATATCCAGAGAAGATTGAGTACCAGCGCAGGCAGGGCGGGTGACATGGCGTCCCGGTGGCTCAGTGGTTAAGAGCATGATGTGGGAAGCAGCATGTCCCGGGTTCGAGACCGCTCAAAGTACCATTTTTTCGGGACCAGATTTCTCGAACGGCAGCTCAAGAGGAGTTGCGACATCGCCGCCGACAAGCTGGTTCGGTGGCTGAGCGGTCAGGGTAGAGGAGTTGACTAGAGTCGGCACTCGGGGTCGCGGGTTCAAATACCCAATGTGACCCCTCTGAGGTAAGGCCTCTGAATCTGGACACTCACTGTACCACAGAAACCGCGCGCACTTCGGGTGGGCCAGCCTAATACGAACCCACTAATCTGTCGAATTGCGCGGCAGGGAGCGTCGGATGAAGGCCCGGTTCCCATAAGAACACCGAAGCTGATCGGCGGGTCTCCTTGAGACTTTCGTATTGCCACTTTTTGCCGCCAATTTTTTCGTTTTTTTGTTGAATATTTTTATTTAATATTTTTATTAGGTAGGCGAAATATAGGTAGGTGAAATAGACAGATAGGCGAACATTTAGGTAGGAGAAATGATATAGACTCGAGGAAAATGCGCGGTGATGCCGGTGGCCTGGCCGTCGGGACGGATCTGGCACTGGGCTGCGAACAGGCACCGCGAATAGAGCTCGGCACCAGCCAAATCCGGACAAGTATCATTCCAGGCAGGCGAACCGTCTTTTGCGGTCCTGCCGTCACAAGCAAACAGAGCAGAGCCCCTGCGAACCAGCGCGTAGGCAACACGCCCACAGCCGCGCGCTGCGTTGCCTACGCGCTGGTTCGCAGGGGCTCGGCAACCTTAAACTTTCTCCAACGACCCGTACAAATTAAAGCGGCTACAGATAAAAAAAACATAAATATACGCTAACTTGAATATAAAATTGAATTTTAAACTAAAGTTGCCCCTAGCATTAAAAAAAACGTCGTGTGTGATCCGTAAGAGCCAACCTGCCCCCGCATCGAACTGTTTCAGACAGCCCTCCGTATTGAAGGCCATGTTCCGTTCACGTTCGCACTGCACGCCTTGAAAGCCCGGGTGCACACACACACACACACACACACACACATACACACGCAAACACACACACGGGGCCACTGCGTCCATCCATGGATACGCGTGCACCTGCCACCTTTCACACCAAGAGCTTCCTTTCACGTTGCTCTTGTTCTTTGTGCACACACGCGCACACACACGCGCGCTTTCCCCTCTGCTCTCTCTCCCTCTGTGCCTCTCTCACCCACACACACACTAACGACGCGCGCGCGCGCACACACACACACACACACACACACGAGCGCACACAAGCACACACACAGAGCTGAGAGCCTCTCGAATTCGCTGGCTTCCCCGCACAGGGGATACATTCCTTTGTGGAAACCAGGATGCGGATAAACGATACGACTGGCACGATTGAAAAAACACCGTTTGCCAAGCAACACGAAAAGAATACTTCATGAGCCTTCGGGATGGCAGCGCCTGTTGCAAGGGCTAGTTTCACGTCGCAGTCGGCGTGAGGGGTGTTTCTAAGCGCGCACGCGCTTATACGGTC